CCTGTGGTGCTCAGGGGTTATTTCTGGCTCTGCACTCAGGAATTACTCCTGATAGTGCTCAAGGGACCACATGGGGTGTTGGGGATCTACCTGGTTGGCCCATGCAAGGCTATCCATCTCACCTCTACTGTCTTTTGAAATGAGTCAATACAGGAGGGATTACAGGCCTCAGGTGACAGCCTCCGTCACATCACAAACATGCCACTTGAAGGGAAAATGAATTCTGAATTCAAATTGAATTCAAATTTTCCATATCTTCTCATGAATCTTAAATACTAAAACAATGAAAATATTTAAATTATTCTCAGAATGCAGGACTTTGATCATTGCATGTTTTCAACAAGAAGGGAGACATCCACGACATTGGCAACTATCACCTGATCTACCTGTTGTCTGTCGTCTATAAGCTGTTCACTCAAGTCATCCTGAATAGGATTGGAAGAACACTAGATGAAGGACAACCATGCAAGCAAGCCGGGTTCCGAAAAGGATTCAGCACCATCGACCAAATCCACACAGTAACCGAGCTCATTGAGGTTTCTCGGGAGTTCAAGATGCTGCTCTGTTTACTGTTCATTGATTTAAAGGCCTTTGATTCTGTTGAGACAGAAACAGTCATCGAAGCCCTAGTCAAACAGGGCATTCAAACTCAGTACATCAGGATCCTCTGTGAGCTGTATTAGAGATTCACTACCAGGATCTCACCATTCTACAGGGAGGTAATCATTGATGTCAAGAGAGGGGTTCGGCAGTATGATACCATTTCACCGAAACTCTTCAGTGCTACCCTCGAGAATATCATGTGATGATTGGAATGGGAGTGAAGATAGATGGTCGGCAACTACACCACCTCCGCTTTGCTGATGACATTGTTTTAATAACACCAAACATCAGCCAAGAGGCAAAAATGCTGGCCGACTTCGACCGTGAGTGAGGAAAGGTCAGACTACAGCTGAATCTCACGAAGACAATGTTTATGAGAAAGGGTCTCATTCCTGACATTCCATTCGCTCTCAACAGGATGAACATCTCCGAATGCAACAATTATGTGTACCTAGGTCGAGAAGTCAACATGAAAAATGACCTGGCACTTGAGTAGCGCAGGAGAAAGAGAGCGGCTTGGAACACCTTCAAGAGCGTCGAAGAAATAGCTAAGAGGACAAAGAACCTCCAGCTCCGAGCACATCTCTTTGATTCCACTATTCTTCCTGCATTAACATATGCCTCAGAGACCTGGGCCCTATGCAAACAGGATGAGAACGCTATTCATGTCTCCCAAAGAGGAATCGAAAGAGCTATGCTTGGTATATCATGCTTTACTCAAACGAGAGAAAGAATCCGGAGTTCCGACCTCCTTCGATGATCAAGAATCAGGCATGCTGTCTCGTTTGCTAAGGCATTGAAAATCAGATGTGCTGGACACGTAATGAGATTTGGAGATGACTGCTGGACTAGAGCCATTACCGGCTGGATTCCACGCGCTGTCAAAAGATTGCGTGACTGCCCACCTATGAGACAGTTAGACTTTTTCGTCAAGACCCTAAATGATCGGTTGAGGCTCTCCATGTTCCTAGAACGAGCAGATGCCATTGGGCTACACTAGCAAGTGACATGTATGAATGAAGACATTACTGGCTCCCGCTTGAGCATATTGATGAATAACGAGATGTCAAGTGCTCAAGTGATGTTTTCAACAATAATTTCAAGGACACAAGCCACCACTTTTGTAAGTAGTGTTGCTTTCTCACATGTAGATTATTGCTGTTTAAGTAAGAATAGTTGCTGGCCGAGACCTCTGATAGGTTGGTTTGTGAGCAATGTTCAATCTACGTTACTAAAATACTCTCACAGGAACACTGACAGTCTTCGCAGAACTCCTTAGGGCGTCCTCTGATTGTCTCTGTGGCAAAGTACTGGAATGGAAACTTATTTCACTAAGAGGAGTTCGAGAGAGGGAACTGAGGGTGAACCCCAATACTAGAAAAATGTTTGGTGTTTGGCTTTTGGAACAAGAGGTGCTCACTAAAGGGAAAAATAGTCAAGGACTGGAATAATATTTTCTGAATATAGAAACTTTAGGAAAAGGATTGGAGCCATAGCACAGCGATAGCATGCCTTGCATGCGGCCGACCTGGGTTTGATTCCCAGCATCGCATATGGTCCCCCGAGCACTGCCAGGAGTAATTCCTGAGTGCACGAGGCAGGAGTAACCTCTGTGCAACGCCGGGTGTAACCAAAAAAGCAAAAAGCAAAAAAAAACGAAACAAACAAAAAAACCTTTGGAAAGAGATATGGTTCTTTAGATCTCATTATGCCAGACTATCTATGTTGTTAAAGGCAGAAATGGTGAAATGAAATGCTGGGTAAGAGAAGAGAAGGCTTTGATTCCTTTACTTCTGAGCATGGTTTGGGTGAACAGTGGCGTCTTTCTTATCAGTCTTTGTTGTTGATGGTGGTAAAAATGGCTATACGAAGAGCAGGAAGGACAGGGACTTCCTTTTGATGACCTCAAACCACTAGGATTATGTTTAGCAAGCCCTGAACTTAGCTTTAAGCAGCCAACTGACCAGAGGTATGGGAAGGGCTTGCAGGAGGCCCTGGGTTGTATGATGTCTGGTGAAACACACACACACACACACACACACACACACACACACACACTGAAAAACTAGAAAGATCTGATAGATGATGAGTGAATACTTGCATGTAAGAATTATGATTTCTACTCAAGGAAAGGATGGTCTGTCTTGTTTTGAAGATTTCACTGAGAAACATATTAAACTATGACATCTTCCTTTAAAATTCTGGAGAAAGACCATGTACTCAAATCACCTATTTTTTCATGAGATTACTTCATAATCCATGTTTTCTTTTCTTAGTGATTATTGCTTGTTTTGGGGTCACTCTAGTGCTGCTCAGTGGTTACCCTGGTTCTGTAGCCCCTGACCCCAGAGGTCACTTTAGGCAGTGCTTGAGGGACCTTGTGTGGTACCAGGATTGAGCCAGGGCTGGACACATGCAAGATCAACCCTTGTACTGTTGCTTTGGCCCACGTGTTTTGTTTTGGTTTTTTTTTTTTAGTTTTGTAAGCAGATTTAATACATTCAGCACTACTCAAATGCCTGTTTTTACAAAACTGCAACCTTAGCTATAAAAGCTATATTAAAAGATAAATATGATTATGAAAATAGGTTTAGAATCTAACCATTTTTGCATGTCTGTGAAGAAATACTACAGTGAAAAATCATCCAGGTTATAATCATGTTGTGTAGAAGGAAGAACAAACAATTAGCTTGAATGATTATCGCATTCTCACTGCTAATGTGTGAGGCCATCTTCGTTTCTCTGACGTGGCTTTCACAGATGTGAGCTACAGGCAACGGCGGCAGCCACGAGAAACGGAACTTTTAGCCTAGTTCTAAGATTTTTACTACGTAAATCAACTGACAATTAGGGCAATAAGTAGAATATGCAGCAATACAGGAACCTGGCCTGGTGGTTTAGAGGTAATCCATTTCATTCATATATTTTAAAGACGTGGTTTGGGGGGGGGGGAAGGTATTAGGTTTGCAACATTTATGCAAAACAAATAATGTGACGCTGGAAAGCTCCACTCTTCATTCAACGTAATGAATTGCTATACAACAAGTCCGATCCTCCCACTGTGTAATTTATACAAATTTGAAAGCTTCATTTATTATTTAATACCTCATTCCCAGACAGGTGCTTACTCAGTAGTAAAATCTGGTTGAGAATACAAATTTAATGATGTTTAATGAATAGGAAGAAGTCTTAAAAATTTCTGTCATGCAGGTAAGCTAACCCATTGTGTGCATCTTAAAACATTTCCCTGCCCTCCTGATAATACTGGGAATGCTTTCATTTTTTATGAGCCAAAACAAGAGAACGAAAATCTGAATTGTATTAATAGGCAGAGAGAAGTTCCAGTTTGTATTGGGCGAAATGCGTTGCTACAAGGTCTGTCTGGGCCACGGCTTCCTAGTGAGAGACGGTTCAGTAAAGGGCAGAGCTCACTTTGTGAGCTGGGGTGTGGCTCAGAGTCGGTGCGGGACACCCCACCACTGCCTAGGTGGACCCAGAGAGAGTTCTTCTCCGAGATACTTAAGGAGCCTGTGCTTGGGGTGTGTACCCCACGAGTGCAGTTCAGAGGAGTCAGTAAGACTGACTCCTTTGAGCAGAGGGGCACTTTGGCCTTGGTGTGAGCATCCTAAGAGTCAGTGAGGGTGCTGGAGACTACAAGGCCCACCGGCAAGGTGCTTATCAGGGGCAGGGGCCTCACCTGTCAGGCCCCCAACAACCTTCGGGGCCCCTGAACATATCCTGGGAGGACCAGTCAACAGGTCTGGGCCATGTCCCTGACTCGGAACCAGTGCACTGGGCTCAGGAAAGATCACTTATGACTGAGTTTATCATCGTGGCTTGGTAGAGGGTGCAGTGTGTGTGTGTGGGGGGGGGCGGACAGTGAGCAGAGGAGCACTTGGATCTTGGCCCTCTTGTGTAGGGGGGGGGGGAGTGGGGGGTGAGTCAGTGAGCAGAGGTGCACCTGGGTCTCTGCGTGACCACCCCGAGAGTCAGTGAGGGTGCCGGGGACCCCAGGGTGCTTACCACGGGCAGGGGCCTCACCTGTCGGGCCCCCAATACCCCCCGGGGCCCCTGAACGTAAGCTTCGAGGGCCTGCCAAGTGGTCTGGGCCACGTCCCCGACTCGGAACCGGGGCACCGGGCTCCGGAAAGGTCACTTATGACTGAGCTTTTCACGGTGGCTTTGTAGATGGGGCTGGGCCAGTGAGCAGAGGGGCACCTGGGTCTCGCTCTGCGTGACCACCCCAAGAGTCAGCGAGGGTGCCGGGGACCCCAGGGTGCTTACCACGGGCGGGACACCCCCCGGGGCCCCCGACCGTCTGCCGGGGGGCCCGCCAAGCGGCCCGGGCCGCGCCCCCGACTCGGAACGGGGCGCCGGGCTCGGGAAAGGCGACTTACGACGGAGTTTTTCATCATGGCTTTGACTGTGAAGCCCTCGGAGACCAGGGAGCGGGGCTGGTGCCCGGGCAGCGACTGCGGCGCCAGCAGCTTGGTCCTCTTGGGCATCTTGTCGGGGCGCTGGCCGAGGCTCAGGGTCTCCTTTTCCGCCACCATCGTCCTGGGCAGCAGCGCCCTGCTGTCACGCGCGGGGCGGCCCGACACCCAAGGGTGCTACGGCCGCGGCGGCCGGGAGCGCGCCAGCGGTCGCCAGTCGCCCCCTCGCCGCGCCCGGGCCGGGGCCGCTGTTGGGCAGCTGCGGGGCGAAGGGCCTGGAGGGCAGGGCCGGAGGGACGCAGGGCTGGCCGCGGCGGGAGCGCCGACGAGCTTCCAAAGGGCAGCGTCCCCGGTCGCTAGGCGACGCGTCCACACTGCGCCCGGAGGCCCCGCCCCGCGTGACGTCACGGCCGCGCCCCCGCCGGAAGCGGCGCCCGGGAACTACAACTCCCGGCAGGCCCCGCGCGGCCGGAGCCTCGGCGCCTGCGCAGTGCGGCGCGGGCCGTCCCGGGAGCCCCGAGGATCTTCCCCCCGCCCCCCGCCCTCCCACTCCCGCTGGGGGCGCGCAGGCCCCTCCCCGGCGAGCCGCCGCCCACCCGCCCGGTGACCATGATAGGTACGTGCGTGCCCGCCGGGCTCCGCGTCCGCGCCGCCGGGGGCCGCAGCGGCGGCCGCGGGCACGCGCTGAGTGTGCGCGTGTCCGCGCGTGTCCGTGTGCGCCCCCCTCCCCCCCCCCCACGCCCACCTGTCGGCCCGCGCGGCTGCAGCCCGGGGTCCGCCCGGGGGTGGGCTGAGAGCCCTGCAGGCGGGCCCCCACGCAGTGCCCAGCCCAGGGCCCCCGGGGCAGCGCGAGCGTCGGTTAACGACAGCCCGAGGACACGGGGGCCCCCCGGGACTCGCCCGGACACTGACTCGGGGGTCCCGGGGGCGGGGGCAGGGGTGGGCGCCGCCTCTCCCAGGCTTGGCCCGGCTGGTTGTGCGTCCCCACGGACGCGCGGGGCACTGGCACGTGCCCCTGCCTGGAGGGACACGCGCGCCTGGACGCTGACCACTGGACCCCCGGGGTCCCCGCCGCCCCGGGTGCACCTGCCGCGCGGGACCGCCCCGGGTCGGCGCGGGCCGTGTGCAAGAAGCCCCACCCCCGCGCTGCTGGAAGCCCCCTTGGCAGCGCACACACGCGCCCACCCACCCGCACTCAGATGCGGCTGGTTCGGCCCGGGAAGGGCTGGAGTTGAAACACCTGCTCGAGTGTCTCCCCGGAACCTTCTTCCCTCTAGTTCTGCAGAACCGGGGTTACAATGTAAAGAGCCTTGCTGCTCTTCTCCGGGAGATGTTCCAGATACCCAACCTTAGGTGTGTTCCGTGGCTCTTTGGCTAGTCTGACTTTGAGGGAAGGGCTTTTGACATTAAGAAAAAAAAATGTGCAGATTTTAATGAACCCGCTTAGCCCTTTGATTTTTTTTATTTTTTATTTATTTTTTGCTTTTTTGGGTCACACCCAGCGATGCACCGGGGTTACTCCTGGCTCTGCACTCAGGGCTCACCCCTGGGGGTGCACAGGGGACAATATGGGATGCTGGGAATCGAACCTGGGTTGGCCACGTGCAAGGCAAACGCCCTACCCGCAGTGCTATTGCTCCAGCCCCATAAGCCCTTTTAGATGACAGTTGCTGAGAAAGTCGAGGAAGAGAATCTTTCCAGAATCCCTGCTATGAGTGTTTTACTGGAAAAACGAATTTATATTTTATTTGGAGGATTAGTGTGTGCACAGTTTGAAATGAAACACATTTATGGTTTGAAAAAAAAAAAGACAGCACAAAAAATCTAAACGTCACCAAATCATAATCTACAATAAGTGGGTTTTTTTTTTATAAGTAAGTTTACGTAAATGGTGAATTGGGTGAAATGCATGTAGGCAGTTTTGTTCCGTTTTCCTTTGGGATTTAGGGACACAGGAAGGAAAAGTCTTGGATTCAATGCATAGGCAATGACCAGTAGCCCAGGCTGAGTGGGGAGACAGAGGAGGATCTTGAATGTTACCTTGCTCACTCCCCCAACTGTTGTCTGCACAGGTGTGTGTGCTGGCAGATTTCTCTTAATCCAGACCCCTCACAAGATTTTTCTAACAAAATTGCTGTGCGGCTAGTTATTACTATTCCTCAGTGGCCACCTTGCACTCGTCACTGGTGGCCTTTGGGCACAGGACATGGTCGCATGAAAGCTGTTGGCCAGGTAAGTGAACCTGGAAGCCATGGGCAGCGTCTGTGGGTTTGCTCCTCCTGTCACTGAACTCGAGATCCAGGGGACGGTTTGTCGTCTGTCCTCACTGTGAACCAAACACACAGAAATAGTGTCCAGGAACTGTGTCCCCTGCTGAAATGTGCCCTCAGGACTCGCCTCCTTCACACTAGCCAACTCGACGAACCCCTCTGTTGTTGCAGTACAGCTACTGCCCGTCCTCTGTTGTTTGGATTTTGCCTTAGTTTTTGAAGTGAAGCACAAGGAAAGGAGTGAGTGAAGGGGGTGAGTGAATGCTATTCCTTTAACAATGCAGTTACCTGACTTGTTTCCTCAAACGCCAGGATTCAGTCCTGGGTGGCGACTGTTTCCTCCGTGCTCTTGTTTCCCTATGAGACAAGGACTGATTTATTTAATGCCCCGGTCCAGAAAACTACAGAAACATAAGTAAGTCAGTGTATGAACATGACTTTATGAGGAAGTTGGACAAGAACTTCAAGATAATGTAAAGCAGAATCGGATAACTCCTGACACCTCCGTATTTCAGCATTTGAAAAAGCTGGCACACCTTTATGTTTACAGTTATATTTGAGTGAGACATTCTGAATAGCCTATACTAGATTTAACTATCACATGTTAAGTATCATATATTAAGGCCATTGTCTTGGCCCCCTTTCCAGTTCCTTGCCAGGTTTTTGGTTTTATTGACGTGCCCTTGTAGCTATTGAGCTTCACTTGGTCAACAGTTGTTAGAATCTGGTTTGTTTGCGATGTTTCTTGTTTTCGGTGTAAGCAAGTTTGTTAAGTAAAAATCGTGTTCTGATCTTTGGGGTAATTTTTCAGCTAACGTGTTTGTTGATCGTAGGTTTTGCTAACTGGTATTTCCAAACTGGTCTGAACGGCTTAACATGCTCCACCCCTCCTACCTCCCCTCACCCCCGGCATCCTGCCCTGATTTTCCTGGAATCCCCCTCCTCACCTGGGGCCCTGCCCAGCCCATGGGTGCTGGAAGGAACTTCCATATTTGCCTTCCTGATGGATGAGAACCAGTGTCTTCTAATTTTTTTTTTTAATGAACTTATGGGAGGGGGGCAAATCCCTTCTCATCTGACAGTGCTTCAATTTTACAAAAGCAAGTCAAGCTGGTGACACCTGCCGTACCCAGCCAAGCGCCATAGCTGTGTAAACACACAAAAAATAAAACAGCCGGCGGTCTGGCCGTTTCCCCACTCCAGGGAGGTTGATGGCGATGGTCAGGCGAAGGAAGGAAACGAGGCCAAGCTAGTTGGTCTTAGTAGCCGTTTATTACATGGAAGAGATGTATGTCATGGAGGCCTTAGGAATCCTCGAGCATGTGCGCCTTTGTTCTCTCCGCTTCTGTCCGCAGCCCCATCTTCCCAGGTTCTCTGATGCACGTGTCCCCCCAGAGAGCCCTGAAATCTCCCTTATATAGATCACAGTACCTCTAAAGGGCGCAATATAATGATGTCATCAAAAGGAGTTACAGAAAGAACATTGAGGGGCAAACATACATTGTTTCCTTACATCCGCAGGCCAGTAATCCTGGCCTCACCTTTTCACAAGCTACAAGCACTTAGATTAGCACAACAAAGACCAGTCTGCTAGAGCTTGGAATCTACATCTCCAAAAAAGCAGTCTCATCCAAGCTAGTCAGGACACACAGGAAACTGTGTTTCTCCTCTCCTTGTCCAACCAACATATAAGCATACATAATATTAATCATTTCGTATGGACACAGTAAGAAATACTTTGGGCTTATAGAATTGCTCTCCTAGGGCCATCTCGATCTCAGACTGCAGTGCTCAGGCCAGATATCTTTCCTATTCCTAGCAGCAGGGCCCTAGTCTTGTCGTTACTTTTGGATCATGACATCATTTGCTTATGATCAAACTCTTAACTTATAGTTAAGAATCGTGGCACCTTGGCCTGGCCCATCGCGATGCCAGGGTAGCACATAAATTACCGGCTTGCCCTGGTTCCATCCAGTCCCACGTCGGGACCCTGCCCTTGGGGTGCTAGGAAGTGAGGGCAACTGAGGCTTAAGTTGAGAAGGCAGATGCCCAGGAGTGAATAATATTCAAAGCCAATCAATTCCTAAATTATAAAGCATGATATTAATTAATTGTCTTCCTGTATCTATACAAAAGGACATTGCATTAAAGTAAACTGCTCAAAAGACATAAGAAGAGGAGAAAGGCAATATTAACTTACAGTACAGCTTCAGTGTCTAAGAAGGATGAGACCTTACAAATTGGTTGGGGAAGAGAGCATAGAAGTGGTTACAGACTGACAAAGTAATGGGAGTGACTCGGGAGCACTGTGATGGGTACAATCTGATATACCTAAGCTCCGTGTACTCCAACAATAGCCAGGGACCTGGGGACAGTTGTCCCCCAACAGATATCAGCGTCCTGCCACCTTGAATGGATGGGGTGGCTGGACTGCCCTCAAATCCACGTGTTTGTTGTGGAACGTGTTTGTTTTGGTGAACGTTAGAATCTCTGACTTGACATTTCTGGTGGAATTGGCCTTTCCGAGCCATGCTTGCTGGCTCGGCCATCTGAGGGGGACAGTCCCCTGATTGGGTCTCGGATCCAGGGGAAGTCCCAGAGCCTCTCTGTGTGATGAAGAGGAAGAGTGTGGCACCTCCCTGGAGTTCTGTGAAGATTTCCTATAATTGTACGCGGTACCTGTTTGTATCCCGAGGACCCGAGGTGATGCCCTTATGCCCTTTCTCTGTAATCAAGTCATTTCTAAGGATTCTTCAGAGCCTTCCTTTGTTTCCTGAACTCTAATAGCTTCATTGCTTAAAAAATGATAAATGGAAGTAGTTTGGATTAAGATAGGCAAATCCATTTCTACCTCCAGAGTGTCTTTGAAAAGTGAAAAAATATATATAAATAAAGAAGGAAAGAGAAGTCCTCCTTGGGAACAGTTCATATTCATGAGAGCGTGTCGCGTGCATTGGAGACTGGGCTGGACTCAGTTTGGTTCTCCTGCTGTGATCCATGCAAAGTGCTCCTACCTGCCGTGTCTGCAGGCTTTAACAGTGGCCTGGCCCTTGCTCAGTGTTTCTGTTTTCACTTGTTTTTAATGCCGTCATTCCCAAATGTTTCTCTGTGGTCCTCTGAGTGGTTCCGTGTGACTCGTGTGATAGTTGGCAGGTCAGTGTTGCTGCTGGCCCTGCGGCTTGTTTACTGTCGCCCAGAGCAGTGGCTGGCTGTGGCCCACAGCCTTCTGCGTGTCCTGCTCACAGCTCCCCTGGGGGAGGGGCCATCCCTCTTGCCCTGGATTGGTCAGTGTGTCGGGGTCAGTCCTGCCTCAGGAAGTGGATAGGGGGTGGGGAGCCCCGGGAGT